TGTAGTGGTTCCTCTGCTGCTCTGAGTATAGTGGTTCCTCTGAGATGGGTCAGGATGTGGTCTCTTCACAGGAGCAGACCAGCTAGGAGTCTGCCCCAGCAGAAAGAACTAATTGAGGGGCGGAAGGGGAGTGGTATTCCGGAGGACGAGGTTTGGGTGGGTGATGGGTCCTGAGTGCCCCAGGCTCCTGGCTGCAGCTCTGGGGCATAGGGTTGTGGGGGAGGGTTCTTACTCACTGCTCTGCTGAGTACAGTGGTTCCTCTAGGATGGGTCAGGATATCTGTTTTTAGTTTTTTAAAGAAATTTTAAACTATATGCATGAGTCTTATTTCTGTATTATGGAGGTGAACCATGTGAAAGACTGGTGTTTACTGAAGTCAGAAGAGCATTGGATTGTCTTGGCTTGGACATAGAATTGGTTGAGAGCCTCACAGTCAGGGCTGGGGATTGATGCAGGTTCTCTGCACAAGCAACAAGTCTTCTTCATTGTAGCATCACTTTTATATAGCCTATTGTTTTGCTGCTGTTTTTTATATTATTATTACAACCATCATTTACTAATTGAGAACTTTTGAGAACTTTTTGATCTGTCAATCAGTAACTTATTAAAAATATTTTTATAAAAATATATTATCCTTAGAGTTTGTACAGAGTCACTCCAGTTTACTTATAGATAGTATATTTCTGGAGTGAATTTAAATCTTTGGAGAAGTTGACCTTGAAATCAGAGATTCTCCAGTCTCTGCTTCCTGAGTTCTGGGATTACAGGTGAGCGTGACTACACCCATTTCTCAATCCATTATGAACTTAATAATTTTGTTCCAGCTTTGCTGATCCAGCCTCAGGAATGCTGCTCTGCCAGCATGACTCTTTGTGTGTTAGTAGGCATTTGTCCTGCAATGCCATATCATACTCAGTGTGCACAGAACTTAGAGGAATTATTCTCTTTTTTCAATTTTTTTAAAAAAAAAGTTGATGATTGTGTTTTTATTTCTATGAATTAATATGTTCAGCACACAAAATTATGTAAATATATTTTCAATGAAGTATTACTTTTACAACACTGTCACTCTCACAATTTCTATTACATATAGAAACTTTACATATAGTATAATATATAGAAAGTTTACATACAGTAAAAATATAAGAAGTATACATACATATGGTATACTTTAGGATGCAGTGACCTATGAGGATGTACATGTGAACTTCTCTTGGGAAGAGTGGGCTTTGCTGGATTCTTCTCAGAAGAGTCTCTACAAGGATGTGATGCTGGAAACCTACTGGAACCTTTCTTGTATAGGTAATTATGGGAATTTTCTTTCACTTTTTAACTCAAGGGAACAAGCCTTTCTTAGAGCTTGGTGCTCTTTTGTGATTTTGATTGTGAAAGAACAAGAGTATGATGAATACATCAGCCATTGCTCTAAGGTTCTCTGAAGATAATAATGTAAATTTTGCATAATTTCCAGTAATATACATTTTCTGATGTTGTATTTTAGGCTACAATTTGTAAGACCACAATATTGAAGATCATTGTGAAAGTTCTAGAAGACATGGACGGTAATTTTAATGTATAAGCAAATACATTTGTGCCTCTAGGGATATTTTAATGTACCCTGAAGTTTTAATGAAAAAAAAATAGTGAAAACAAGCACAGCTTTGTGGGGATTATTAAAT